CAAGCCATAAAATAAAACTCGGAATCAAAGTCATTACAACGCGCACTCAAATGAGCACAAGCACAATAGCAACCCACACAAATGGACTAACCATTAGCCACGAGAAACCTACACTAGGTCCTCTTACAAGCCTTCAAGGCCAAATCTAAAGAAGAAATACAAGCAAACTTGTCAAATAGAAAATTACAAATGGTGAAATGTTGTGTAGTATTATTTATATCCTCCACAATAGCAAGAACTCTCCCTTGTGCAGCAGTGTTCTGATTTAAAATCTGAACAATATGAAATGAATCAACTCTGCAGCAAATGGAAGAGGAATATCCAGTTTCATGCAGCAACTTCAGTCCCCATCTTACAGCCATTAGAGTAGCTTCAACACTGTCTCCAGCTCTCTCACTGCATTCTTGCCAATTGTAGAGTATTCTTCCTTCAGTCTCCACTACACCACCAAATGCAACAGCTCCATCAGGTAGCAGGCAGGCACTGACAGTTAATAGGAACTGTCCTACCCCTCTATCTGATACATTCAAATGATCCAAATGGTCACCAGTAGTTCTGTGTGTCCTTCTCAACAATTCCACTGAAGAACTCTCAAATTCACTCCATTCTCTTCTTGCCCCATCAACAATGTCTTTCTCAGAGATGCTCTTATTTTCAAAAATCCAGCTATTCCTTGTTCTCCATAACCACCATAACAGGTAGGTTGAGAGATTGACTCTATCCTCAATGCACTTCTCTGTCCTACTAGAGCATAAGTCTACCCACCAATCCTTAAACACAATCTTATCCCTATCAAAATGCATCCAACTTAACCCACTAAGCTTCCAGCAAGTCACAGCTCTTTTACAATTAAATAAGATATGCTCTAAATCTTCTACCCCTTCCCCACAAACCTTACAGATGCAATCAATTTGAATTTTTCTATGAAACAGATGAGTATTAACACTAAGAAACCCATACCAGCATCTCCAAATAAAGTTCTTGATCTTACATTTCACTGGCAGCTTCCATGTCTTTCTCCACATTGCTTGCATTATTCTTGGATCTGCACTGGAGCTGGCCATTCCTTGAGACTGTCTATGTTGCTCAAGAAGTACTTTGTAGACTTCTTTTACACAGAACAATCCTTTAGGGTGCCAGTGCCAGATTAACCTGTCATGAGCATCTGCATGGCTGATAGGAATATTTAAAATAAGTGCAGCTTCTTCAGGGCAGAAAGTTTGGTTCACTAGCTCCTCATCCCACTCAATTTTATTACTCTTAAACAGCTCACAAACTTTTTTGAATCTCATCTTATCACTAGCAAACTAGACAGTATGGCAGAATTTAGAAGGATGAGGAACCCAAGGAGACTCCCACACATCTATAGACTTACCATTACCAACCACATATCTCAGCCCCAATTTTAGAGATTTTCTAGCATGGAGCCAACTCTTCCAAAGCCAAGAGTCAGAGCTTCTAGCAGACACCTCAAAGATTTTCTTGTTCCAGAAATATTTACCCTTCAACAATCTACTCACAAGCAAATTAGGTTTAGTAATGATCCTCCACAGTTGTTTAGTCAGTAGAGTTTCATTAAAAACCTTAAAATTCCTAAACCCCATACCACCAAACTCTTTAGACCTAGATAACACATCCCACCCACACCAATGAATTTTTTGCTGCTTTTTCTCAGAAGAACCAGAGCCCCACCAAAATTTAGCAATTTCCCTGCAAATATTGTGACAGACAGATACAGGGAGCCTAAAGCAAGACATCACATAAGTAGGCAAGGCTTGATGTGGCATGTGAATGGTAATGTGTAATATAATGACTAAAATATCCTTAATGAAAGTATAGATTTGACTTTTTTATTAGTCATTAGATCATCCTATCTGATGGCTAAAATTTATTCTCATTTTCTCGCATTAAGCACCATTCTCATGTGAGCGCGACCCTATTTTAAAATCGAAATCGAACCGAGTTTTCGGTTACTGAAAATTCGGTAATCAATTTTAATCTGTTCGGTATCGATTTTGCATTTCGATGTTACCGACATTCTCGGTTCGGTATCGGTATATGCTTACAGAACCGATACCACCCCTATTTTATAATCACGTTGGTAATAGTCCATGCATCCATATTTTTTTCACTTTTTTGTATATTTGTACTATAAAATTATGAAACTACTGATTTAAAATTTAAAATAAATAAAAAAGTCGTAATCGACCACCAAGTTTATGAGGACGACTCATAACTACTGGTATTTTGATAAGCTTCAAAGTCAACCAACAATTAGAGAGGCATATCAAAAGATACACACCCAAAATAATTTATTATTATAAATAAAAAAAATACATCATTCAAGTTTAATTAAGAAAAACAAAACAAGAAACAAAATTGATCGAAAATAATGGGAATTATTATAAAAAAAAAACATATAAAAAAAACCAAAAGGAAAGAGCAAGTTTCGTTGGTAGGAGAATTTGTTTTTTTGTTCAACCCAAAGCCTCGCCTCATAGCTAGCTCCAGCCTTCGGCCTTTCAAAGAATAACCGGAAAAAAAAAAATGACCAGCAAAACAGCAGATATTAACCGAAAAAGCCCCAAACTCCTTCAAAATTACATTCTAGCCCTCTTCCTCATCACCACAATCCACTCCTCAAAATCTCAGTCCAATATCTCGGCCTCCCGCCCGACCCCGCCCCCACTCCCGATACTACCAATCCCAACCTCACACCAGCTCTCATGGCAGCTCGCGGAGATGGCCCTTTTTTTTCACTTCGGCCCCAACACTTTCACTAATTCAGAATGGGGCACGGGCCACGCGGACCCTTCGGTTTTCGACCCGGACGCCGTCAACGCCACGCAGTGGGTAAATGTGGCCAAGGACGCAGGTTTTTCCAGAGTCATCTTGACTACGAAGCACCATGACGGGTTTTGCTTGTGGCCTTCGCAGTACACAGATTATTCGGTGAGGTCGAGCCCGTGGAGGAATGGGACCGGCGATGTTGTCAAGGAATTGGCTGAAGCTGCGAGAGCTAATGGCGTTCAATTGGGCCTCTATCTCTCTCCCTGGGACAGGCATGAGTCCTGCTACGGGAAGACGCTTGAGTACAACGAGTATTATTTGGGCCAGATGACCGAATTGCTTACCAGGTCTACTTATTGTGTGCCTGTCTTGTGTGGGTGCTTTTAAGAGTTCATATTTGAATCTTGCTGTTTTTTCGGTTTGATGTGAACTTGTTTGTGTATTTTTGTGGCTGGCTAGGGATGATTTGACTGTGTCGCTGAATTTTATTTTTATGTTTGAGCTGTTACTATAAAGTGGGAACTATAGCTAGAAAATTGATTTTGCTGCTATGAAGTGGTTCTGGCTTGTAGTTTGAGCTTGGGCAGTTAAGTTTTATCTTACTATTTTGGGTATAGTTTATAGATCTAAATGACAACACACTTTTTAGACCGTAGCTTTGGCATTACTTAATCTTTTTGTTAAAGCAGAACTCAATCATTATGTTTTCAATAAATCTAATGGCTACTGCATGAAAGAAGTGATGATTTTGACTTTAACTGTGACAAAGGCAGTTGCCTGCTACTGGAAGATCAATATTCTACTTCAAGTATTGGGGATATCTGATATTTGCAATTTGACTTCGATTGTTTGGATGTACACCAAACAGTCTATTTTGCCATGTATAGTAAACAAGACTCACTTGTATAGAACATGATAATCGATTGCTTTTATTTTCCTGGTCACACACAGATATGGTGAAGTCAAAGAGGTTTGGCTAGATGGTGCAAAAGGGGAAGGAGAGAAGTACATGGAGTACTTCTTCGATGATTGGTTTAATGTAATTCATCAACTTCAAGCAGGGGCCGTCATATTTTCGGATGCAGGGCCAGATGTGAGGTGGGTTGGGGATGAGGCTGGATTTTCTGGGACAACTTGCTGGTCTCTCTTCAATCAGAGTAATGCCAAAATTGGCGGCACAGATCCTGCGTAAGTCCATCATTATTTTTTTTTTCATAAGTTTACTGCACATTTTCGGAAATGCAAATCTATAGGTGAATGGGCACGTTTTTACAGCTTGAAGCTGCATATTGTATAAATGAAAAACTTTTCATATATGATGCCTCCTCTCAAGTCCCAATGAATTATATTTATATTTAGCCGTTGTAAATTCAAGCTAGCTTTTTTTTTTTTTTT